ATTTCACTTGTGAACCTATCAATTTAAGTTAATGTGGTAGTTATAAGATTGTGTATTTGTGATTAAATTGGATTCCTTGCACACTTTTGTTTCAACTAGAAATTTTTCTTGAACAAAATTGTGAATTGGTAAGGTTGAGTACAGGATTCATTTGAGTATTATTTAACTTTGATCTGATTTCAATTTTTCTATAATAATATGCAATTACGTAGATTAAGATTCTATAATTCTGCAAAAAATAATTCCGTGTTATCTGATCTTGTGCTCTTCTTATCTTGTTTTAACATCTATTACGTGTTATCTGATCTTGTGTCTTGTTCCTAAGGAACCTAAATTGTTGCTCAACCTTTACAATGAAATGATAAATGCATTGTTTCATGGTCATAGAATATTATACCACGTACATAACTCATAAAATGAACTGAAAACTTTGACTCTTACCATTTCTGTAAAGAAAAAAAAGTTGGTGAACATATGAATTTTGAATTGTATTTGTACTGTTTGATTATATCTCCCTTTAGTTTCCACTAAATTAATCTATTTAAGAATGGTATGGGTTGTGGGCATACAATTTGTCTTTGATAATTGATATGCCAAAAAGAAGCTTGAAGAAAGAAAGAAAGAAAGTATAGTTCTTTATGTAATCAGCCGTATCCTTTGTTCCCTTCTTGAATCTTTATTTGTGCTTATTGAAAGAAATGAAAAAAAGTTGTCAGTACTTGGTTTTGAGGTAAGTTCTAATATTTGATAGCTCTAGTGTACATCAATTGTTGGTGGTCCCATTACCTAATGGTTTAAACTGTACAGCTTGTTTCTAGAAAATTCCAGATCTAAACGAAAATAACATAGAATTTGGAAATTGTCCGACTGAATATTTAGCTGTGTTCTCATCACTCTAATCCATTTTAACTTACTACTAATGTGAGATTTGGTTCTGATGAAATATAAATGCTGATTAAAGGATTTTAGGATTATATTGTTGGTTGAAGAAAGCATGAGGGAAGGTTCAACTGCTGTTTTTTTTTTCACTAAATAATCTACTGTTGCATGCTTATTCCATTATCTAACTGCCAATTACTTATTGCTGAGATATTCTTTGAAATGGAGTATAAATATATGTTCATACA